AAATAAGCAATACCGATACTAAAGGTATCAATATCAAACTGGATGGCAAAAATAGATCGTAAAAAAAAATAAAAGTTCTCAACTGGCAGACGATACTACTCTATTTTGTTGTTCCAAATATGACGTTTAATTAGCATTGCATGCAATTTAAATATTTGGTTCTTTTTCAGGATTAAAATTAAACAGATATAAGACAGAGGGGTTATGGGTAGGAAAGCTAAAATCATGTAAAGACAAAATTGAGGGAATCAACTGAAGTGATGGACCAGTTAAGAAATCTTGACATTTATTTTGGGCACTGTAGAGAGGAAAATGAAAAACTAAATTGGGAAAATAAAGTTGAAAAGATGAATTTATTATTTAGTTATTGGCAGAAAAGAAACCTTACTATTTTGGGAAATAAGTTGACAATTAAAACATTAATTGATCCTACTTTCACTTTTATAGGAACTGAGAAATATTTGAAAACAATAGAAAAAAGTTGTTTTAAATTCATTTGGGATAATAAACCAGATAAAGTTGAAAGAAATTCGATCATTGGTCCATATGAAAAGGATGGACAAGATATGTTAGAAACAAGAAGTTATTTCATTGCTTTAAAAGCTATATGGGTTTTTACCCACCTCATTAAAGACTAGTAAGTGATTGTGACGGATATTGGAAAATTATACCTTAGCACTATTTTTGTAGTTTTTGGTCAAACTTGAAACATTTACTGATATAAGAAAACAAATATTATGGAACAATAAACAATTGAAATGTAAAAAGAAAGTTATAATTTAAAAAACTCAATTAAAAGCGATCTTATTTATGAAAAAGGCTGCGTTTCACAAATTGTTATTTTGAATAAACTAAAAAATAAATCAAACTGGATAGCTGAAATTGATTTAGTAAAGTCATTAATACCAAAAGATTGGGCATCCATCTTAAAATCGGAAAATTCTATAAAAAGCACTGTTAATATAAAAAGAAACCAATTTACATGGAAAGTTTTATTTATGAAATTAGAATCACTATCAAACAAAATTTTATATTAGTCTCTGATAAATAAAACAAATTGCCCTAGCTATTGGACTAAAAATGGCAACATATACTAAATATAGATAATGTGTTGTATCAACACAATTTATATGATTACGATCACGATTACTGTGTCCTTATTTAGAAAACTTTTGGAATAATTTTTTTTTTTTTTTAAGTTTTAAGAGAAGTAATTAACTTTTAAGATAAAATTAAAACATTTAGTATTTGGATGTAAAATTTACCACGAAAAATATTATGGCTTTAACAACTTTATAACTATTGTTATTTTTTCAATTTACAAAGCGTATTACATATCTGATCAAGAGACAAAAAAGCCAATGTTTCTTCAATTTTCATAAATGAATTCAATAGAAGAATAAGTGTGACAATTCAAAGTAATATTTTAGTAACCATTAGAAAACATTTGAACAATGAATGATATTATTGAATATATATTTAATGTAATATGAATTTTACAACAATTTACTGCCCTTAGTAGTTAGTGGAATGTAACAGGGAACATAAGGAGGAGCTTGGACTCCTGATGGATATTGGAACAAGCCAGAAATTGAAAAAAATATTTAATCTTGTTATTAAAAAAAAACAAAAACAAACACATTTAATGACCAACAATAGGCGATGATTAGAACTAACTGGTGCGTTTAACCATTCTCTGAGGAAGACCACAGGGTGCAACGAATCTATTTCTATTTAGAAATGTTATCATGTCAATTTGTTCTGGGCAGAGTCGGTTTCTCAACTTTGTTACGTGTTACGTAACTAAAAGAGGGGCGAAGGTTACCAAAGGGACATTCAAACTCATAAGTCGAAAATAAACTGACAATGCCATGGCTAAAAAAGAAAAAGACAAACAGTCAAACATCAGTACACAAAACACAACATAGAAAACCAAAGACTGAGCAACACGAACCCCACCAAAAACGTGAGGTGATCGCAGGTGCTCCGGAAGGGTAAGCAGATTCTGCTCCACATGTGGCACCAGTCGTGTTGCTCATGTTAGTACAATCCTGGTGATAAGTCTAATTCGGTAAGTCACAATAGGGGAACAGAGGACGTGATTGCAGACGAAAATATTTGCTCTAACTGTACAGATGTGGTGGAATGGCTAAGACACGTTTAGCAAAAGTGTAAGTCTGTGAAAGCTGTCCTCGTGAATAGCCCACCTCTTTTCGGAAGAATTAATTGACAATGAAGAGCAAACATTCGAAACGTTTTTTTTTTGTTATCACAGATTACTAATTAACTCCCAGAGTGCTCTCAATAAAAAGAAGACAGCAACATTCCGACATGAAATTGATTAGTCGAGCATCATTTCGGTATTCGATACTTGGTACTACCGAGCGAAACCCGAGTGCTCGAGTTCTCATTGAAATTTCTTAAAATATTGTCTGATTGATCTGGATCAAACTTTGTCATCATCATTCTTATATTCCTCTTATAGTTGATGTGTTTCCCTCGGTTTTGGTTTGTGACCCTGATTTGTTTTCGCTTAATCGATTCATGACTATTGAACAGCGGTATACTACTGTTGCCTTTATTTAGTCTGAAAACGAAGAAATTTGAATGTTGCATATTTTGACAGGTAAGCGATTCGGGTTCCTACAGAAGGAGCCTCTAGTTGTTATGATCGTGATTGAAAGTTGAGATATTGAGAGTATAATTTTGTCTTTTATTACAGGCAAAATGTGGGATATGTTTTTAAATAATGGAGATCTTTTACGCCGGATAATTGACATTGTAGTCAATAAATTATAAGTGATTCAAATAATACATTTACAAGAAAATTTCATGTTCATCAACTTATGTAATTGTGCTGTAACCATGGATGCAATTCTCTTAGGCAAAATTGACGATTTGTTCTATTTAAGTCCTTTTTGTTTTCAAACATTTATGTGTTTTACTTTCCAACTTTTTCACGATTGAACCTGTTGTAAGTTATGCCATAAATACCTATACACACATATATTGTATCAGTTGTGTTTTACTCTCAATGGATAGGTAACACTTCTGGTGGACTATTAGTCCAGGAGAATACTATCGCACTGGAGTGATTCAGATGATGCATTATGTTTGATAATTTCTCGTTCCTTGAAACTATGAGTGTGTTAAAACTGGCTTTGTAACTCTGAGTAAATATAAAAATAAGAGGTAGTATAATTGTCAATGAGATAACTTTCAACCAGTAACAATTAACATGGATGTGAGTAACTATAGACCATCGACGGCTTTCAAACAATGAGCAAAAGCCATAGCGTATAGTAAGCTTTAAAAAGCACGGACAGGACAAACGTAAAGCAATTGAAACGAGAAAACCAACGGCCTGATATATGCGCAACCTTCCTCTAACCTGGGACAAAACAAAAGCACACACAGTAAAAATTATTAGAAAAAAGGCTTGACTCGTCAGATCAACAAAAAGCACAAAAAATAACTAACAAAAAGAATAAACACAAAGTATTGTTCTAAGAGTACTTTCAGTTATAAACAGCTAGTTCAAACATTCAAAGTCAATTACAATTTACAAATAAATCATGTGTCCCAGACTGATGATTGAAATAAACACTTCATAAATTTCGCGCGTCTGAAGCGCTTTTCTGGATTTACTTTCATCAGGAACGTTTTATCCTAAACATTTGAAAGCAAGGGATGCTTAAATACGCTGAAGGATTAATCATAACATAGTCAATGGATTTAGTGTTAAGACGCCACAAATAGTATGAAAAAACATAAAGTTGTACAATGCCGAAACATAGATATCGGTAGGATGAATAAATAGTGTTCATATTTAGTTATCTTTTAATTTACCAATCACAAAATCAATGTAAATACTGATAAAAACTATATCAAGAGATCTTATTACAGAGTTAAATTAGTGTGATTCGCATGGCAGGTGATGCATGCATACCATGTCGACGCATTCATTCATGCTTATTTTGGAATTTATACATTTCATTCATTTTTTATTTGTAACATTGACTTGTCTCTTCTTAATAGATTTACGAGATTAAAAGTTAAACTACTGTCGCCTTAATTCAAAATAATAACCTTTTAGAATAAGTTTATTCAAAGGATCGATAAGTTTTCATGGATTGTATTCAAATTTACGGGCTCTTTTAACACCATCATTCTTAACATGAGAATGTGATATCATGTTAGGAACAAATTTTCTACAGGTAAAGCCTAATTTCCAAACCAAATGAAAGGAGTTGATAAAGATTTAAAATGATGCGTGGTAACGACATCCCTGACTTAATAATTAAGTTTTTAACATTAGAAAATGTGTATTAAAACTATAAGTGCGTATGAAATGTGCATTTCTAAAAGGACTTCGTCACGAACGCTCGAGACCATAGGATTGGAAATCCTTGCGATTGTAGTATTTGTACATTAATTTGAAAGTTTGTTTTCTTGATTATTCTATTTGAATTACTTCACTTACTTAAAGCCTATGCTACGTCATTATATTAAATGTAAAAATTTGATAATTGACTGATATTTGGTATCTAGCGCCACTTTCAGCACTCTTACCTTTATCTTGGAGGCCAGATTTAATTGATTGAGGAAGCCGGAATGACCGGAGGAAACCACCGAACTTCTGCAGGAAAACTAGAAATCCAAGACGGATAAGATCGGAGTTAAATGCACATTCCACCAGCGGGGTTCCAACTTACAATAACAGGTTAAAAATTGAAAGATTTGGTTTGTATAAGTTGTATTATATATGTAAAAATGAAACTTTATATATCAGAGTAAAGAAATAAAAACTTTATGCCTAATGTGAAGAAGCTAAACGATCAAAAGTACTAAAATAGGTTAACATTTAACATTAGATCAGATGAGTTCAAAACGTTGACTAACATATGATTTGAATAAGTGTTTATGCATACTCGCTACTTGGTATAAAAAGTATGAAATTATAGAATGTATTCATACAATACAGCCAATATCTTACTTACCTTTAATCAAATCATTTAAAACTCTTTGTTCATATGGTCGATACTTGTACTTGTCCAATAAGGCCTTATGCATTCTATAGCTATTCTGATCTGCTTCTGTTGTCATGTTTTGATCTTTAGAAAAGATAATGTATTCAATAGTTGATTTTTGTATTGGTTTTTTCTGCAGGGTATTCTCAATTATTATTAATTTAATCATACAAATGCTAAATACAGAAATACAAAAATCGATGCCTGAGAAACCAAAGTTTAGTTTTTGGTACTGCACAAACGTAGCGCGGTATTAATATTTAAGATATCATGACATGTTTACCACTTTGCTGTATATCATTCTGTTGACATGTTGCCTTATATGTTTAAATATTTGTCGACTTTGTACAAATAATAACTTCATATTTAATTCTGTATGTATGAAGGTCGCCATAACTTCAATGTTCAATTCGGTATAAGTATAACGAGGCAGTTCTACCACTAATAAATGCAATATGCATTATTATGTGTAGATATATCAGTAAATATCTTTGTAGATGCAAAACTGAAAAAAAAAATATTTCAGTCTATGGAAGATATTACGAAGCTGACTTAAATTCATCTTTAAATGCCAACTCGCTAATTATGATGATAATGTTTGAACTTTGACGACGAGAATGACCCTCTAGATACCAAGAGGACAACTTTGCATTAAAACTGGAAAAATACAAAATCTTCTTAAGTAAATGCTCTTTTATTGTTCTTTAAAACAATTTATGAATAAATAGCGTGCCTGGGGGGACAAACAAGTTTTTTTTTTATTGTATACTAAATATTTGAAACAGACCTTCAAGTGCATTACTCATAGTCTACAATAAGTTTTATAAACAAATGTACCCGTGAGGGCGCTAACGAGGCAATTTTCCATAAATTTAATATTTCCAAGGGTCATAACTCTTTTAAAAAAAGTCGATCGTCCACCATTATAGAACTTGTCCGGGATATTGCTGATATTAACCTAAATTGATATAAGAAGATGTGGTATGAGTGCCGATGAGACAACTCTCCATCCAAGTCACAATTTGTAAAAGTAAACCATTATAGGTCAAAGTACGGCCTTCAACACGGAGCCTTGGCTCACACCGAACAGCAAGCTATAAAGGGCCCCAAAAATGACTAGTGTAAAACCATTCAAACAGCAAAAAAAACAAACGGTCTAACCTATATAAAAAAAAGGAGAAACGAGAAACACTTATAAACCACATCAACAAACGACAACCACTGAATATCAGGTTCTGACTTAGAACAGGTGCAAACAAATGCAGCGAGTTTAAACGTTTAATAGACGCCAACCTTCACCCTAACCCGAAACAATAGTGTAACATCACAACATAGAAAGACACACTATAAAATATCACTTGCAATGGCTTAACTCAATCAAAAGACTATAAGTTTCATAACAATCTGCAAGAATTGTACCCGTGAGAGCGCTAACGAGGCAATTTCCATAAATTTAATATTTCCAAGGGTCATAACTCTTTTAAAAAAGTCGATCGTCCACCATTATAGAACTTGTCCGAGATATTGCTGATATTAACCTATATAGATATAAGAAGATGTGGTATGAGTGCCGATGAGACAACTCTCCATCCAAGTCACAATTTGTAAAATTAAACCATTATAGGTCAAAGTACGGCCTTCAACACGGAGCCTTGGCTCACATCGAACAGCAAGCTATAAAGGGCCCCAAAAATGACTAGTGTCAAACCATTCAAACAGGAAAACAAACGGTCTAATCTATATAAAAAAAGGAGAAACGAGAAACACTTATGAACCACATCAACAAACGACAACCACTGAACATCAGGTTCTGACTTAGAACAGGTGCAAACAAATGCAGCGGGTTTAAACGTTTAATAGACGCTAACCTTCACCCTAACCCGAAACAATAGTGTAACATCACAACATAGAATGACACACTATAAAATATCAATTGCAATGGCTTAACTCAATCAAAAGACTATAAGTTTCATAACAATCTGCAAGAATTGTACCCGTGAGAGCGCTAACGAGGCCATTTTCCATAAATTTAATATTTCCAAGGGTCATAACTCTTTTAAAAAAAGTCGATCGTCCATTATTATAGAACTTGTCCGAGATATTGCTGATATTAACCTATAGTATAAGTTTTATAAAAATCTGGCAAGAATTGTACCGGTGAGAGCTCTAAGGAGGCCATTTTCCATAAGTTTAATATTTCCAAGGGTCATAACTCTTTTAAAAAAAGTCGATCGGCCACCATTATAGAACTTGTCCGAGATATTGCTGATATTAACCTATAGTATAAGTTTTATAGAAATCTGGCAAAAATTTATCCGTGAGAGCGCTTACGAGGGCATTTTCCAAAATATTAATATTTCCAAGGGACATAACTCTTTTTAAAAATCTGGCAAGAATTGTACCTGTGAAAGCGCTAACAAGACCGGACGGACGGACGCCCGGTATTTCCATGTCCTCCGTAACGCGTTACGCGGGGGACAAAAATATGCAAATGCTGTAATGGTTATCAAAATTTATACAAACGAGATGCATTATTCTATTTAAATGTACTATTTTCAGATGATTTTATCAACCGGTTGAACCCCTAACTACTAGATGACCATCAGTATCAAAAACACTTCTTTAAGATCAATGATAAACCTTAATCTATTTTAATAGAGTAATGCATGAGAATGATCTTCATATACTTTGCGACATATTTACATCAAGAAATGTTCGCCTCTTGCTAAGCACAGAGATGCTCTATGAACACGAACGGAAAACAGATTTGTTACATATTGATGAAATTGATGAAATTGATAATGCAAAATGCCTATGAATTAGATAAACACAACGCAAAATATTTATGGACGAAATAAATTGTATAGATACAGTACAACCTGTGACGTACTCTGTAAAATGTTCAACAACTGCTATGTTCAACATCCAATGTGACCATTTATTGGGGGTCATAAATCCTGGCATGTTGGCCATTAATTGGGATCATAAACCATGGTCTGGTGGTCAATCTAATTATGTTACCTGGAGAGATGCACTGATTTTATCTGTGGTTAAAAAAGGTTTGTAAATGACATCCTGCATCAAAACTTTACCTGTACAGGTACCTGTTCTTGTCCTTTTTCAATGACCTACATGTGAATAAGTTTTGTTTAAAATAATTTGATTGAAATATAATTTTTTATTTATTCATTTCAAAAGGTAAGAGATCATCTACATGTAAAGCCAATAATGAAGTTTTTTTTTTAAATTTGTACATGTGATACTAATTTTATCATTCTGTGTTTTTATGTGATTAATTCCCTTTCTCAATCAGTGTGAAGTTTTTATATTGTAGCAAATTCATTTGAATCTTTTTCATAATGCTTACGACAAAGGCAGTAAGGTGTTTTTTTATTACATTTTCCCCAAGGACTAAGTAGGGAAAAAATCACAGGAAAGAGCTACAATTCAGTTTATGATAATTTTTTTCATTCTGTGATTTACAAAAGACTTATTTCATTTTTTTCAAAAAATGTTAAACAACTTGCATACAAAATTTATTCTAAAAAAGTAATATACATTAAAATTATTTGTCAATATGGCTTATTTAAAGTTTCTATTTGACTGTCTTCGTGGTGTAAGAAATGGGCATAGGACATTTGAGCGAAAATAAAAAATGCACATAGGGTCTGCCATTTCGCTCAAATGTTTATTGCCGTTAAGACATATAGGTAAAGAGATAGAAACCCACAAAGTAGATAAGACAAAAAGTCAAAGATAACTTATTGACTAGCATTTGAAAACAAAATAGAGAATCCGTGAAATAATATATTTCTAAGGAAAAAAAAGTTATTGTACATCATTTACATCACGTACATTGTAGTCTAATCATGCAAATGATATGTTTATAGGCACCGTGAAGCTAGTAATTTGACAAGCCTGTTTTCTTAACAATAAAATTATCATTATCAATTCTTTTACAATAAATTTTGATAACAAAACTGTACAATGTATTATTATTCAGGAAAACTACAAATATGATTTTGGAAAAAACAAATTTTGTTTATCAATTTTTTTTTTAAATTTTAAAACAACAGTTCTGCCTGTAGCATCAATGAAGAGACTTTAATTTTCCAAATCCCCATCTGGTGCATATAAGTTAGCATCATACTTTTTGTTCACTTAGGTTCTGTCCTACATTCAGAATATACTAGTATATCATCACAATTTTATAATAAATCTTCAATTAAAATGCTAATGTAGAATTTCCTCAGATCTCTGAATATAATTTATCTTATGAAAAGAAAAGATTAAAAAAAAAAGTCTTGTTTATTGAAACAATTGTAAACTAATCAAATATGACATCTTCAGTTTGGCTAATTTCTGTCAGTTAACAGCCAAACTTTTTCTCCAGGAAAAATAAAGTACACATCTATAGATTGTGACATTTTTATGGACTATTAAATTAAATCTTTTTGTTTTTATCTGTGTACTTAATTATCCTCATTTTTTATCAACGGTGTTCTGATTCTAAACTAAATATCAGCTTTTCTCTCCATGCCCTATAATTTCCTGATTTTTTGTCCTAAAAATAATGTTCAATTAAGGATTATTGAATTATTTATTAGATTATCCTGAATTATATATCAAGCAATTTTGATTTTAAAAATTTAATATTATATATATATATATATGGATATATTTTCTGACAATACATACACATGCAAGTTATATAATACAAACATTTTAAGACTGAATTTTGGATTCTGAATTTTGAAAATATATATCCTTTACTAAAAGAAGCATTTATATTGTCAAAACTGCTGGACTTGCATGGTACAAGTTCTTGGTATACATATGCTAAGAATATTTCACACAACCCAGACCTTTTAGATAAAGCTAATAATTGTAGGGACTTAAATGAAGTAAACTCTTTAAAGCTTAAATGTAAGAATATTTTTGAAAATAGAATAAAAAGTTATGAGGAAAATAGTACACTGTTACTTTATAAAAATTTAAAACTTAACTTGGATTGAATTTTTTTTTTATTTAGCGTCCAATGACTTTTCTATAAGAAAATACATCACTGAGTTAAGAATTGGTGAACATAATTTAGAAATAGAAAAAGGCCACTGTTAAGGATAGAATATGTAAACTGTGCCACTTGCTGGAAGATGAAAAACACTTCTTCCTTGAAAGTAAAGTTAACAAACAAAAAAAGTCCATTCCGGAGTAACGATTATATGTAATTAGTATATTATTTATATTTATAATAATATCTGTAATATTACAATATCTATAATTACACAAGTTTGTATTTTTACTTTTACTTTTAAAGTATTTTTACGGAAATTATTCGTTACTCCGGAATTGATTTTTTATACTATCTCTAAAAGTATCAGAAACGAAAAACGGTCAGTGACCTTGCACGTTTTTTCAATCCTCGTGTTTGGATATATTGTTTTGTAATGTTTTGAAAATTTTGAATAATGATTTGAAAAGGTAAGTTGTTTTGTGTTTTACAACTTAATTATTAAATAAATTTGTTATTGATTTGACCCAAATAAATATCGTGCCGTGACCTTAACCTATCAATTGTTTGTAAACAATATATAACGTACTTACATTGTACATTTACAATTAAAGTATCACATGCATTAACACAGTGACAGCCTCTGTTTTTTTTAATTGCTTTATACCATAAAATGACTTCAATTTTTTCTCAAAATATTCAACACCTTTATCAATAGATATTATATAGATATAAGAAGATGTGGTATGAGTGCCAATGAGACAACTTTCCATCCTAGTCAAAATTTGTAAAAGTAAACCAATATAGGTCAAAGTACGGTCTTCAACACGGAGCCTTGGCTCACACCGAACAGCAAGCTATAAAGGGCCCCAAAATTACTAGTGTAAAACCATTCAAACGGGAAAACCAACGGTCTAATCTATATAAAAAACGAGAAACGAAAAAAAATTATGAACCACATCAACAAACGACAACTACTGAACATCAGATTCCGGACTTAGGACAGGTACAAACAATTGCAGCGGGTTTAAACGGTTTATCGCTATATTTGCCATACTATATAATTCTCCTATATTTTTTACTTCATATTTGAAAATTCTTAATGTGTCTACCATTTTAGCCTTTTTATTAGAAACTTAATGTACTTTATAAACTGAAAAGAATATTAAGCTAAGCAGATGATTAAGTGCATAGTATGCATCATCATGAATTTTGTATCCTATTACAAGAGAATGGAGACTTATCACATGTTCATCAATGCAGACTTTTTTTAGAATAAATATTTTCATTGATTTCCAAAATGTTTTATGATATGAACATGTAATGAAAAAATGATTATCATTTCTTATAGAATTGTTATTTCTTTGTGTTATTATGGTTGTTTTTTGTTTTTGTCACAAACTAATTATGTTTATATGTCAATAAATAAATTGTTAAATTTTGCTGTAATGAGTATTTTGAAATGTCAATAGAGAAAAAGATAACTGCCTAAATTTTGTATGAATAAAATCCTATAGATAATCCTAATCATTTGTTAATCAATGTAGAATGGAGATCAGTATCTTTAAATCTTAACTATTTTGATTTTAGAAAAATAATTTGAGAAACACCTTTTCAAAAGAAAAAGGCAGACATTATCAGATCCATAAAAATTGGAGACTGTTCAAGTTTACAATATATTAGAAGATGAGATTCATTTATTCTTCATTTGCCAAAAAATACATGTAAGAAATAACTGAAATTGAGAGAATAATTTAAAGGTATAACAGCAAAACAAACAGTCATGGCAGTATAAGCTACACGCAATGACATATAAATACTAAGGTCATGAGACAATTTTTTCTAAAAAATATTATTAAGCTATATGTTCAACTATTTTTATTATTTTATTCTATCTTTCATTATCACAGTAATTAAATTTGACAAACACATATATTTTACCTGAGATATATCACATGTACATTTACAATGTATCTGAGACACTTTACCTGTAAGCTATTCGATTCTATACCACTTAAATGCAATCATGATTTCCTTTTACCCTTGACTAGGTTTTGATTAATACCTTGTGTATTAATTAAGCAACAGTGGGTATAATAATGAACATATAGGGCCATCATGGTGGACATAGTTTTTATGGCCACCATTAATCAGAGTATGTCACAGGTAGTACTGTAATTCTACAAAACGTTAAACAATCGTACGACAATTAAAGCTCTTTCTAGACGAAAAGAAACTATTACGATGTGGTGGCCGCCGAATAGACAATGTTTTCAAGTTTCCATATCTGTTACCGTCAAAGGATCGTCTTACACATTTGGTAGTGTTAAAAGCACATGAGAACACTCTACATTCAGGTATAAATGTTACCCTAGCATATGTACAACAAATGTTTTGAATTTCGAAATTAAGACAGTGCGTAAAATCTATATTACAGAAATGTGTAACATGCCGAAAAGTAATTGGAAAATCATATCCCACACCAGTAATACCACACATAAGAGAGAGTTCATATGCCTATTTACATGTACCGTCACTCGAGCTGTACATTTTGGAATTATTTTACGATATCATCAAAAATCTTTTTTATTGTGTTTCAGGAGATTTGTAAGTCTACGAACCGTGCCGAAAATAATGATGTCAGACAATGCGCTGACGTTCAAAGTTGCATCAAGCGAAATTTCACGACTTTGCAATTCTATAAAAGTTATTGAATTTATTCAGATTTATGGTGTTGAATGGAAATTTATCCCAAATAGAGCTTCATGGTTTGGGGGCATGTAGGAAAGGTTAACTGGCTTGACAAAAACATCACTAATGAAAGTATTAGGACGCGCACATGTCAACGATGAGACTCTTCGAACAGTATTAACGGAGATCGAAGTCACGCTCAACGACCGTCTAATCACGTATATTTCCACCGATATCCGAGATCCGGAGCCGCTTACACCATCCCATCTTATACATGGACGAAGATTAACGACTTTAACGTATGTATCGTCAAACAGTGAAAATCTAAATGTTTGTTAATTAACGCACACAAGCTTGAACTATCAAGTGTTACAACGGACACAATTGATTGAGGATTTTTGGACAAGATGGATAGGAAAATACCTCACTTCATTGCGAGAATATCACAAGAGAGCGGGAGTCGACATTCAGAAGATTAAAGAAGACGATGTCAGATACACGACGAATCGAAACGCGTGCATCTGACACATGGTGTTGTGCAAAACACTATTAAAGGCAAGGACGGTTTAGTGCGCTTTACTATAGTGCGTACCAAGTCAGGAATAACAAATACACCGGTGGCGTAACTCTACCCATTAGAAGTCAACAGCATGAACTGTTGTTTGAGACGAAGTGAACGAAGAAACTAACGTGTGAACGGACTTGTTACTTTTTCTAATTTGTGAATAGACTGTCAAATTCATTAAGTGTTAACGTAAATTTCAAATTTCATATTTTTCTTGTTTGTGAAATAAATTTGTTTTAGTTTATTCCGCATGCCACAATACACCACAGTTAATAGACATTAAGTCTGGTGGCCCCGAGTAAGTCGATGATTTAGAGACAGTTTAATTTACGTCAAACGTTAACGGTACTTTTAACGACGTTTTCATTTTACCATTGTCAACGTCACTGTATATTTTGTTAACGTTTTTCTATCATTATTAGACACGTTATTATATTAAGTTGAGATTACACCATCAAACGAAATAGACGTTTTTTACTGCCTGTCCATACATCGAGTTTACCCATCTGTCATAGCAATAAGCTCTATTTTACATTAAATACTACTCTTTTTACATAACAACAATTATATCTTGTCATTTCGATTCCATCAATATGAAATATCTTTTTTGAGTAATTAAAAAGCATAATTAATTAATTAAAAGAAATACATTCAGTTATGTTATTAAATTATTTTGTCCGATTGATATAGTTTTCAGTACAGATATAAATAACTTAGGAAATCATTATAAATTCTACACTATCACTGACCATTAATCATCGGGTTTTCATCAAATAAACACGATGGCTGCAAATCGACTACTGGTTCTTTTTTGGATTCTTTTTGGTCAGTGGTTGTTATACCATTGATTAAGTCATTGGTAGCACTTGTATGAGAAATCTACAAATATAGCAAAGTTTTCGATTATTTTTTTTTTGATTTTTATGTTTTGAAAAAAAAACCAACAGACGTAAATATACACAAAACGGTAAACCCCAAATCAACTTTAAATCATTTAACCTTAATCTTTGAAGGCTATGCCTTTTGTGTATTATGTAAATGTTGCTTTTTTTTTGTTCAAGCGGCTATAAGCTAACCCCATAATATCGTTATCATATACCTTTGATCCACTAAGTGAATTTGATTTGTCAATTCCATACAAACTGTTTTTGTCTTGTATTAAGTCTTCGTCGTACTGGTCGTGTTTATGGCTTCTGACTAAATACAAAATTTAAATTGAAGAAAAATTTCACGTTCATAAATATAAAAAGTAAAATAACAAAATTAACAAACTCCAAGGAAAATTCATATCGGAAAGTCATTTATCGAAAGCCAAAATCAAAAGCTCATACACACCAAACGAATAGAAACAACTATCATATTCCTGACTTGGTACAGGCATTTCCTTATACAGAAAATGGTGGATTAAACCTGGTTTTATAGCTAGCTAAACCTCTCACTCGTACGACATTCGCATAGATTTCCATTATATTGACAACAATGTGTGAGCTAAACAAACTGACATAATAGGTAAAAATGTAAAAAATTGGGGTACCATGGAATAATGGTATAATTCATTAATGGACAGTCATTCATGCAGATTTTAGTACAATTCTATAGACTCATAAAAAAGTCTTGTATTATACATAATAATTCTAGTTGAAATACAACACACGCTCAATCAATCATTCGTTGAACCATCCTGCCCCCGCTCTACACAAGAAGGAAATAAAAGAAAATGAATAATAAGTGCAAAAGTTTATTGTAATGTAGATTCGTCAAAATTAGTTCTTATTCCTTGCTATTATAAATTTCACCCAATTTGAAATGAAAAACCTGCTTACCAAGATGCCATTTTACTTAAATCATTATTGTATTTTGTTACTATTACTAGAGCTTTTCTGAGAAAACAATGCAGCAGTGATATTTTGGTTTAAACGTAAAAATATTGAAGAAATAATTAAATGAACTGAACAGTTTTTCCTTATTTTTAGGAAAATTTCAATCGATACCGTAAAACGTTAAGGTGATCACATATAAAAATGATAAAAAGCCAACAATGTCTTCAATTAGTCTTACCTTTTCTTTTATTTGCGTCACTAACATCTGATAATTTCGCAACAGGTATGGTATACTTATTGTCGTCTTCAGGGTCAGTAGTTTGGGTATCCTTTAGAGAGTCTATGGCAGCAGTTTTGTGAGAATTTCGTAAGTTTGTATTGACAGACGTTTCCGAAATAATGTCTTGTTCAAAATCAATAAGTGAATCTTCTTTCGTCTGATACGACAGTAGTTTTGTTTCTGGAGAACTTCCTTGACTCTCGCTCTTTTGGGACTGTCTGTCACTCTTTTTAAATCCAATGTCTTTGTTAATATATTGCGTAAATGTATCTTGGGACTTCGTTGTTTTACGGTCAGTGCCAGGTCCATTTATATTATTGTCTGGTAAAAAATTGAATCAACATATTAAGTTTTTAACTTATCTTTATAATAAAATAAATGCTTTCATTTGTATTGTGCCGTTACACCACTGTCCCGGGTTAAGGGGAGGGTTAGGCGCCAGCAAACTAGTTTAACCCCGCCACATTCTGTATGTGCCTGTCCCAAGTCAGGGGCCTGTAATTCAGTGGTTGTCATTTGTTGCTGTATATCATATTTTTTTTCCGTTCATTATTTTGTACATAAATCAGGCCGTTGGTTTTCTCGTTTGAATTGTTTTACATTTGTCATTTCGGGCCTTTTATATCTGACTATGCGGTATGGGTTTTACTAATTTTTGAAGGCCGTACGGTGACCTATAGTTGTTAATATCTGTGTCACTTGGTCTGTTGTGGAGACTTTGTCTCATAATCTCATTGGCAATCATACCACATCTTCTTATTTTAATATTTCAAATATCAAGTGTCACTTCTTGAACCAGTCTATGACAAGAGCCCTAGAAATTGCAGAAAAAAAGCAAATAATCAAGCCTTTCAAGAATATGTGAATTTATTCGAAACATAGAATAAAATTTGTACAGTTTATTGTATTAAGTTAACTTGTAATGTCACTATGACGCCATAAACTGGCAAAATTGGTGTATTTGGACTAAAATAGCTATTTACACATACTTTTTTGACAAAACAGATAAAATCCAAGGCTTACAAAAACAATATTTACACTTTAACATCTTGTTAAATACATCTTGTTTCAAAATCTCTTTTCGGGTAATCCTTTGGCTCATATATTTTTATTAATGAAAATATCTATATAAAGAAGCTATTTTGTTCGTTTTGATATTTTTTTAAATAAGTAAATAAGAAGATGTGGTATGATTGCCAATGAGACAACTCTGCACCAGAAACCAAATGACGTAGAAGTTAACAACTAAAGGTAACCGTACTTATATGAATCAATAGTGTATAAGTCATCACATAACACTATAATACACTTGAAAAAGATATCTAAGATTCAGAAACAAGCAAAGTTTTGAAATTAGAAACTAAAGTTAATAATCCTTATGCAAATATTTTAGACAAAATTCAGACAAATAAACACCGTTGCCTGACAGCTTAATGTCTTGTGAACATCTGAAGGACATTATTTGTAGTTTTAAGATTTCATCTCTTCTCTTTTTCTAATCAAACTTAGTAACTAATTATAAAGAAACTAAGGTTTCAACTACCTTAGTCCCCGAGGGTATCATCAGCTTAGTAGTTAGTATTTCGGTACTGACATGAATTATAACAAACATTACTAAAGTTTTAACTCCCTCAGGCAAAGTTGACCTTAGATGGCTTTGGCTATTTTTTTTAGGTCCTTTTTGGCCTAATAGCTGTTCAACTGTGTCGGTTCTTATACATCATTGGCTGTCAAATATTCTGCTTTGATCGTTCATGATAAAGGTAAATCCAGAAAATCGCTTCGGACGCATGAAATTTAGAACGAGTTGTTTTCATTTTTTATAATTTATATTTATTTTATTATGAAACCATCTTTAATACCATAGAATTTATTTCGTTGATATAATATTTTGGTACAAAGACGTCCAGCTCAAACTACTACATTTTTCTTTCACGACATACTAGTAACAAATACTACTTAATCATGAACATGATGAACGCAAAAATGACTGACATATATTTGTTCTCCATTTTACCCTTCTTTTAGCATTGGAAATCTCTCGTAAGTCTTAATTATATAAACGTTACAAATTCTACTGCACCAAATGCAGTAAATGTCTCTTCAGTGACGATTAAGGCCAAAACATTTGAAAGTAAAAGCAAATATTGGAGATGTTAAAAAAGAATAAATTAATAGCCAAGCCTGGACAATAAAGAGAGCTATTAATAAGGGAGATACAATCCTTTATTCAAAACTGAGGTCCATATCCAAATTAAATATAACGGAGTTTTGTCAGAAAAATTAAACAATCTAAAACTGTCTTAAATTATTTTTACTTATGCTGTGAAATTATTTTTTAAGGTTTGTTCTCGTGTCCCTGGATAAACCTATGAATTTAATAAAGGATTCCGAGACAAAGACTCGATTCTCAATGTACAGATGGAAGGAGGTATGATGATAACCTTAACTTGACAACTGAAATTGCAACATTATTAAATTTCTTCTTTTCTTTTAAAATAATATTAGTTCTACCAATAAATTAACAGGTTGATATAATCTGGACAATACACCAGTTTCACATTTAACTGCGCATGTCTAATCTAATTAGCCAAACTATGAAATCGCGCGATAATTTCCGAGAGTTCATCAACTGGGGGCTAATGGTTGATAAGCAGTGACCATGCAGACTTGGGAAAAAAATCTTCTGATTACATGTTTGCGTTTACATGTCAAAGCAACATGAGCATCATTTGAATCAAAATATAAAAATTATATTGACGAAACAACTTTATTAACAATGACACGGTCAAAGATTTTAAAACAGACTACTGGTGTGTTGTTGATTGCGGTAATATACGATCTGATATGCCGCCTGGCTTTATTGTACCTTTAATTGTCACAAATTCAGGCTGAGGTCGTTCACTTAACGGGAAGAATAAATTAGATAAATAAGCGGGGCTCACTTCATCTACATAGTATTAGGTCATAAATTAAGAAGTCAATTAACACCTTAGCCATGTGGAATCCTCGTTTTACCTTGTACAATCTCACCAGGTGACAATTGATAAAAACGTACCCTTATCTATACATACAGTTACTGATAAAGGGCGACTATTTAATTGATTTATTCAACTTTTGTACACAATTATTTCCTGCATCCTGCAGATTATTCTTTTCCATCCTGCCTGGTCATACTTATTCATTTTTAACTCCTACTAGAATAATAATTTCCTAAACATCCCCCCTAAAAATCAAATGGTCATTCCCTTATACAGATATTTAAAATTTAACCCTAGTACCTAATTTATACTTATTTATCATGGCCAGTACGGACCTTAATGCCACTGGGAATATTTTAATAATTTAGGAGGGGGTTCATTCAGCAATTTGATCTTTTTTTATGGCAAAGCGTGGTAAATATAGGATATTCAAGTAATTTTAATGGCATGAAAAATGATAAACTTTTAGTTGAAAATATGTAGAAATTACCCTGTTTGCTGGGACTGAACCTCTACATAGACGAAGTCGATCATGAACATAGCTTAGAAATTAAAATGGTATTGAATGCATTGTATTATAGTCTGATGTTTGAAATTAAAGATAAACCTGTATTTCTGATACGTATTTTAAAACTGCTTTTATATCTCTCTTCATTATCATGGCCGTTTAAAATATCACTGACGCAGAAATATTTGAAACAAATGTACATTCAAATAAGAGGATGTGGTATGAGTGCCAATGAGACAACTCTCAATCCAGGTCACAGTACGGTCTTCAACACGGAGACGAGGCCCTGTCTACTATATGTCAATTTTTTCTGTTGGTATTCTGAAAGCATTTTATAAGAGCTATATCTTCCCACATTTTATTTTGATATTCTGTCATTCATTTTACCTTCAAATATTCTTATAATGATACCTTAAAAATTTTCTCTGTATAGTCCATACAAAATGTTTCATATTTTTACAACCTGTAGCTTAAAAACAAAACTCGGTGACCTATCATTGTGTTTTTCATATTTTTAACATATCACAATATATACTACATCTTTGACAAAGGATATAAGCACAAATTCTATCACTTTTTTTTTACACTTCCATACTACTATTAGTGGAAATTTCGATTATTTAGTAATGCCGGTAACTTATCCTTGTACCCATAAAATTTCACGTAAAAGTCACCATAATAGTAACCTGTTTTTTTTTTAAAGAAAATTAAAAGTTCGAGTCTATGATACTAAACCTATATGTAGGCCGTAACCCCGTAGATGCAAAAAAATATTTCAGAAAACCTGCGAATTGATACTGGAACAGAACTGAAATTAAATGTATTTTCTTTTTATCAAATACTTTTCTCTTTTCAAGAAAAATCAAAGTGATATACTGCAATGTACATAGCGCAGTAGGCAAAAGAAAGCAATTACAAGATTAATACTTTTTTAAAAACCATTTTACTAATATTAAAACACAACTGTTAGCAACAAGATGACTTATTTTCAGGTTTGAATTGTTTTGTGTCGGGACCTTTTAGAGCTTACTATTCGGTATGGATTTTTTCATTGTCGAGAGTTGTATGGTGATATATATAGTTGCTTTCATCTGTCATTTGGGTCTGGTGGATAGTTGTCTCGTTTGCAATCATACCACATCTTTTTATTTTAAATTTGTTAATCAAATAAACGATTATTAATATCTTAAACTTAAATAATCTCAAGCATACACCATGAGAGAGAGAGATGTGTATTATTAGTTGATTTATTATTGTGTTGCTAAATAACAGAGTCAATTTGATGTAGCCCCCTGTCACGTATGATATCGTTAATTATCGCGGGATTTAAACTCAAACGCGCATAGGATTTCGAGATCAGCGTTGATAAGTCGCTTATGTGAAACTGGTCTATTCAGAAAAGGTCAGTTGTGACGACACTTTGACTTAAAGAACTTGAATTGGCGTACTTAAAAAATATTAAAAAAAATAGTTATGAGCTAATGCCTCATCCAAAAAGTTCTGACACCTGTGTATATGACATCGTGTAGCAAAATAGTTTTATTAGTACAGCTTTGCTTCATATCAAGGTGAAGTTACAGTAAATGGGCTATGTCACAGATTGTAGTAATATTTTGCATACAACTCTGGCTCGGTGAAATACAACTGAAAATCGAAAACATAATGCATTTATCTCCTTTATCATTATTTTGAAATATTACCGATTGAATTCTTTCAAAATGGGTGAACATATTTGTCTTAAAATCATAAAATCTCTAATTTTTACTACATAGCTTTTTTCTTAAAAAATTATATGTTGTTGATACATCAATTTCCGTTTAAATGGTGTAAAATAAAGATAGGGTCACAGACTTCGTTTTTACGGTATACATCATTCAAAGAAGATTTTTCGCCGATTTTATGTGATTTCTATACAAATGTTCACCCATTGTAAAAGAATTCAATCAGTAATATTTCAGATAAAATAAGAGAAAAATGCATTATTTTTTCGATTTTCAGTTGTAGTTCAACGAGCCAAGGTTGTATGCAAAATTTTAGCAAAATCTGTGACATAGCCCATTTACTGTTCCTTGACCTTAATATATTAATGACAAGATGCCAAAATGAAGCTATTTGGCAGATTTGTGTGAAATACAAGAAATTTAATTCCTCAAGCAAATGCTCGACATAATTCAATAATATGAATACCGATATCTTACGGAATACTGTTTTGTTAACAATTGATGGATGATATATAAATCGTTTGATAAAGGTCAAGTGTGAAACATAACATTATGGCCTTTTACGTCAGTCGGACTCTTTTGAATTGTTGTTTGATTGCAATCATACTATATTTCCTTTTTTTTTTTAGAATATCTTCTCCTTTACGATTGGATATAGCTACATTATATCATAGAAACTCCAATTCCTGAACAGATATTTGATCGATCGTTGTTTACTACTAACCATGAGATTTAACTGACACTGTGACATTTTTGAACATTATTAATCATATTAAAGTTTGGACACAACAAAAGAACTTTAGAGGTTAAGGTGTAAAATTACTTTTATTAAAATTTTCCTACTGCATATTTTAAAGAATAGGAAGAAAGCATGATACAAAAAAGTGTTCGTTCCAATTATACATAAATAGGGTGATTTAATTTAATGCACTAAGCACATACATAGATGCTAAGTGGATGTTAATATAACGCTATTAACCTGACGAAATTAGTATATTTTACCTAAATGTGTATACTGCCCATAATTTATGTCAAAATCATATATGAACAAAATCATAAACGACCAGTCTTGCTGAATTATTTTAACAACTTCAAAATCTTTGAATAATATATTTTCAAAGAAATATAAAGGTTGTAGTTTTACTTAAAAGCTATTTACAAGATATGTTATTTAGGCTTTTCGAGAGTTTTAGGCATTTTCCTCAAATCAGAGAAGTTATAAAGACAAAGAGCAATTAATTATATATCGCTTATAAATAATATTACCGATATATGCATAGACAGAAACCAATAAATACAAATTTCATAATTGACGGTGAAAACTTTGTCAACGTGTGAATTATGTTATTTGATATATTAAGAATACATGTTTAAATTATGGAATTCATAGTAATGAAAAGGATGTCTTTTACATATCTTAACGGGTTAACTTTGAACAGATCTGAGAAACATAATCTGTCTCAGTGTATATCTTTTGAATGAAAATTCTACCATAAATGTTATAATTACTATGTATTCTAAATGAAAGTAAATCAAGAAAAACGCTTCGGACGCATAAAATTTACAAAGTGTTATTTTCATTTTCTACATCTCGGTTGATAAACTGTGCGACCTTATGTTATCATACGCAAAGCATTTCTGTTCTTTGTCCACTGTTTTAGAAAGGGAGCAATAAAAGGTCATTCAAACCGGATATTTTACTAACACAGATTTACAGAGACAGAAATCTCAGTAACACATGAAGTTACAAATCCTCCTATCGAACATCGCACTGCTTCATTAAACGACATTCTTAAACATAGAACACGTTTTTGAAACTTTGTTTGGCAAAATATACATCAACTGCATAAAAAGTTGGATCATTCAATGTATGCTACTAGGGTTGAATACTACGCTCTTTAAATAATTACGTTATATGCACAAAAATTTCTCAAAGTAGGTGATGCATCAACTTTTACCTTCTGGACTATTTAACTTGATACTTGATCAATAAATATATAAAACAATAGACAAAAGAAACCATTGAAGATAGAAAATACAAGTTTGATTTATTTGGCATACAAAATCTTCTGTTTCGCTGCTTATTTCCTTAGATGTTTGATATAACATAAGATTTTGTTTTTATTTTAATGTCGTATATGCCGTACGATAACAAAACGTTCTGATAAATAAAGTTCAAGGATTTTCGAACGTTTACGATAGATTAGTATACGTAAAACCTATAAAAATAATATCGTGAATGAATCTTATTCTCACCCAATGTGATTGTTTTTGCTTGTTCGATTACCGCGTCTTTGATGAGATTTTTACCAAAAGTAGCCAGAAAATCTAAATATTTTAAGGATATAAGTGAAAGGTTCCAACTCCCTAAGGTAAAGGTAAGGACCTGAGATGAATGTCGCTATTATTTTCACGTCCGTTTTGGTCATATGTTTCTACGTATTTCTGTAGCGTCCCTAGGATGGGTAATCCAGAAAAGAGCGTAGGACGCACAAAAAGTGTTTTTATTTACATTTGCAGTAAAATCTATATGTGCATATTTTTATTCTCTGTATTTCGTTGTAATACGGTGCATATGTGTCACGTTTCGCAGCATCTCATAATGGTTTCTTTTTTGCAAATCATTTTTCAGTGATGTATTTTTGTCATTGCAATTTTGAAACATATGTTTCATATAAAAGCCTAACTGGAAATATAATACTAATTTACAAAATAAATAGAAGCACAATTCTAGGATTTTGTTTTCGTCCATTTCGTGTAAGGAAACTTACAATTCAAATACAAAATTGTGACAGTCTCTATAGTATATATTGAAGTTATTTTGTGATGAACATTACGTTATTTAAAAATATTATCGAAACGAAGGTTTAACTTTTTTTCTAGAATTCAACCTTCATCTTTTAATCTAACGCAAAGCTCTGGTTCCTTGTCCGGATGTGACTATAATTTATGTTCTTTCCGATTTGATTAGCTGTTCAACGTTTGTAAAAGATTTGCTTTTTCAAATATATTGACCTCGAGCATCACTGGAGAGAAATTTATAATTGAAATGAACATATGGTGCAGTAAAATTGGTAGCGTTGATGATATTACTACCACTGGATCGATGCCAGCGGACTGTTAGTCCCCAAGGGTGCGGATATTGTTTGATTGAAATTTGCTCATCGTTATAACATTTTTGAAGTCATTTTGAATTGAGGAATATATCTCACTCATGCAAAGCTCTGATTCCTTGTCCGAATTTGACTTACTTAACGTCCTTTTTAGTTTGTACACTAGACATGAAATATCGAAATGTGCCTCTGATGCTGTAAAAATTTTACCGTTTATGTTATCATCTCGTTAAATTGAAAATAAAGGTAAAGAGACGATCAGAAATTAGAAGTAAGCTTCCAAAAGCCTTACTTGCTGACCTGAAAAATTAATCTAAATGAATAATGGCTCAAAAGAAATAAATCCTGTCAAATTTAGCTTTCTTTCGATCAGTCACTCTAAGCTCAAAATTAGAAGCTTCGCCTCATATTGAATAAAAAGATTGTAGGGAACGAAACATATACACATTCTTTCAGAGTGTGGTCATGATAGACTGAATGGTCTTAGACAAAAAAATATATGAAAAGTTTACCAAAAGAAAGACAACGACAAACGGCAAGTGACGGTAATATTGACATACATGTAGTCCTCAGAACCCTTATGGTGAGCTAACATTATCTTTTCTTATTGAATTTGAATAATATCAATAGTTTAATGTAATTAAAGCATAAACATAAATTAGTGACATGCAAAGGTGATCCCGTTTGGTTGTTTTATTCATATGTATTATCATGTAGTTTGTTTTAAAATCTGTTTAATAAAATTATCATGAAAAGAAGGCTGCATATGTTGCATATTAACCGATTACAGATTAATATATCATGTAGACTATCATTGAGGACCGTTTGTTGACCTCTTAATGTCCTTGACGTACACTCGTTATCATCGACGAATACCTGAAATAACTACGAAATTTCAAGCTTCAGTATTATTTTCTTTATTTTGGTTGTAACTCTTTAAAACATTTGTCTGTTGATTGCTGATTTTGACTTCTTTCACTTATCTTTGTAAAAAAAATCGGGGAAAATTATTTTCGTCCTTTATATTTTCTATTTTCTCGTTCACTTTAAAATTTGTTAGCTGTATATCTTCTGACTGTAAGTAAGTACTTTTTAATTTTTTTTCTGGTACATAAATTGCAAATGCATGCATAAAAATTCAAACCAATAGCGTATTTAATGATCTTTTAAAAACGTAATTATAATATTCTATTTCTAATAATGATGTATTGACGATTAATACTTTTTTGAAACGAACCTTTCCGACACTGCAATAAATTAATAAATACATTTGTACTAACCTCCAAGCTTGTATTCCTGTCGTGTTTCGGATGACCCCAACGAGCCATTAAGAGAATGGGTATATGATCTTGAAATGTCAGATTTAGTTTTCTCCTTACTTAAGTTGTCGTCTGCACTCTTGAAGGAATCATGTGAAAGACTATTTACAGTAGATTTGGAAGTAGCCCTCTGATTCAAACAATTGAATGAGCTCGAGTGTGTCATATGTTCAGAATCCTGGACAATGTTTTTATCTGAATAAGATATAAATAATCCACTTTAAATTAATATGTACATGTACTTTCTTTACGGGATGTTTTTTTTATATAAAAAATATAATCATCAGTTACGATTTTTGTGTTTAAGGATGTTTGCTACTCTTGCTTTTGACTTTTTGTAAGATTTTCTGAATCCTCTAGTTTGATCCATTTTGTACCAATACAAATTTTTCCCCTAAACACGTAATTTTCTTTCCATAATTTTATTACATATAGTTTAAAAAGCCATTTTTTTTAATCTAGTATAACACTTGTTATTTTTTCATAGTTTTTGAGAGAAAAAAAAATAAGCGCGAATGTTAAATATATGAAACATCTAGAGATATTCGTTTCTAGACAAATTTTCAATTGATTATATCTCAAAAACAAGGACACGGATCTGTCTTTTTTAATACTTTTTAAGATCTGTTAATTATATACTATCAATTTATAACATTCAGTTAAAACGGTTGTCATTTTAAAACAGAAGCGAACATTCCTAAGTTTTTATGATATTCTACTATGTAAGATATTGTGAATTGCAAAGATAAACTCTAATATAAAGTTTTTCGTTGTTTATAGGTTAAACTTTGTAAATATATTTGTTTCTAAAGTCACGCTCCTTTTGAGGAGATATTTAATATTTATAAATATTTCGTTTTGTTCACCTAGGAATAGATTACCTTAGCTGTATTTGGTAAAACCTTTCGGAATTTTTGGTCCTCAATGCTCTTCAACTGCATACTTTATTTGGTCAATTTAGCTTTTTTGATTCGTGCGTCACTGATGAGTCTTCTGTAGACGAAACGCGCGTCTGGCGTACAAAATTGTAATCCTGATATCTATGATGACCACTTTGAAATTTTACCAGTATAAATACAGATTGATAGCGGTTCAATTGAATTCTCAGGAAGACTCCAAGTAAAGGGAGGGGTATTTCAAAATTTAACTCTTAGAAGTTCAAGGCATATAATTGTTGAAAATATGCCGCACAGCCCTATGTTTTAACCAATGCAAAAATAGAAGTGCATGTGAACTTTCCATTCTAGAATATAATTTTTACGAAACTTCATAGTAAAGGTGGCACAGTAAAAGGAGTTCCTATGGGAAATTGCAGTGTCCATATTTACAGAAGTGCAACCTTAAGGCTTATTTATCATTTATCTTTAATAACGTTATCGTGCGATTGTGTAATTCTTATAATTACATTTTTATGCAACAAACATAAAATAAAGAGTTATATCAAGCTTTTCCTTTGTTTTTCATTGCATGATTTTAACATTGTAACGGAGAGCACGTGTTATTTAAAGCTGTTGTATTTTATACGGGAAAAAATATGATATTGAAGTGCCTCGCGATTGTTGTCAGCCAATTAAAATTACGGATTCTAAATAAACACACTTGTCATGTCGTGCTTATAACCAGATGTATGTTTTAAAATAACTGTTTGTGCTTGTATGAATTTTTACAACAGACAATCATCCTTGCCAAGTGTGTTAAATGTTGTATTTTAAGACACATTTTAGTTTGGACCTATATACTGCTGCCAAAAATCCAAATTTCAGTATTTTTTTCCTTTTTTCTTTTTTATATTTTGCTTTTGCTTTTGTTTTTGTTATTTATTTATTTATTATATTCTCTTCGGTCTTTTCTTTTTCTCTAAAATATAGTTCTATTTTTATTGAACAATACTATGGAAATAATGGATACATAATAATAACGTAATGTAAACTGTATATTTCAGAATTTAGAATACTAAGAAAAATCCAAAGAACGCTGAGATGATAAACAAAAATTGCTACTCGCATATGTAAATAATTATGGAAAATCAGAGCCAGAAAAGCAGCACAACAAAGGTAAATATAATAAACTAAAGAAAACACAGATTAATCTTTTTTTCGACAAATACTGAGAAAAGACAGAAAAATGAATCTCCGAAAATAAACATCAAGAGAGGATCCAAATCTAGAAGCCAATCTCGCAACCGACCAACAAATAGGAAGAACCAAGAATCATATTCAAGTGTGATCAAACGTAAAGGTTTTAAGTAATTTGTGGTAACGAAATCCCTGACTTAATAATTTACTAGTGATACATAGGCTACGCTCATTGAAATCAAAAATTCACCACAGACACGAGCCAAGTTGACGAGTTGGGATATAAAAACACCGTAAGACGGTGCCAACGGAACATCACTGTCCAAAAAAATTAACAATAGGGAAAGAAAAATCATCCCTTTTGTCGTAAATTTTTGTGTAAAGTTTCTGATGTAATACTGAAATATCTAGATCTAGGAAAGGACAGTTATTGCTGTTGATATTTGATTTATTTAAAGTAAAATCCTTTGGGTAAATTTCAGCAGTATAATTAGAGAATTCTTGATTATTTAACGAAAATATATCATCAAGATAACGGTTAGAGTTGTTGAATTTATCAATTAAATGGAATTTAGACGTTTTTTTTTACTGAGTTTGACCATAAACTGTGATTCATAACAGTAAAGGAACAATTCTGCTATCAAAGGGGCACAATTGGTGCCCATAGGAATACCTACAATCTGTCGATAAACTTTATTGCCGAAACGTACATAAATGTTGTCAAGGAGACAATTAAGGGCTTTAATCATCTAATCACACCGCCTGTTAGTATATCTAGCATATTTACCTTTCTCATTTGAGAAAAGAGCTTTTTATGAGTTGCGGCAAATAAATTTGCAATCAGATTTATCAAACGACCATTTAATTAGAAAGGAACACTTTTGTTTGATAAGATTGTGTAGAAGTGTAGTATAAAGAGTGGAAAAGTCAAAACTGTCAACCGGATCAAAAGGACCATTAAAACCATGTAATTTATCTAAAACATCCAAAGATTTTTTTACACTCCAAAAAAACTCTTAACATACTATAGTAAAAAGAAACCATTATTACCAAAGAAGCCAAAAAGGAGGCTCAATTGTAATAATGGATACACAATACTGTAATTGTACCCATTTTCGCGGGTACTTATTTTCGCGAATTGTGTATTTCAAACAAGTTCGAGGGTATTTATTTTCGCGATTTTTTCCCGAAAATAAAATAAAAGAAATCGTTTCACTATTATAATTATTGTCTCGTGTGTCAATATCAACTTTATTAAAAGTAAATGGGTAAATAGCCATCGGGTAAACTGTATTTAGTAACTTTGGTTATTTGTAAATAATCGTCGTGTGTATTTATTTGTGCTTGATTTATTTTCATAAAATCTAATTATAATTGCAATTTTGTTTGTTATCAAATGAGTACAGTAAAACTTTCTAAAACATTGTTTGCTTCTATACACATATGTTTGTAAATCAATCAATAACTACAATAAAAAAGTCATATGGTTCAAGGTAACCTTGAGCCGTTATTGTTTCTTTGATCTTAAATTGGTTTCTACTGGTCACCTATTGATATTAATTTATTTTGTTTATTTAACGGATTAAAAGGTTTATAAACATGTCATGTCATCGATGTAAGGTGCATAGATGAACAGTAAGTTTTCAGTTGAATGGTTGGATTTAAATTCGCATGTATTTATTTCGCGATAATATATCAACCGCGAAATTCGTGAATATAAATACACCGCGAAAATAAGTACAATTACAGTATTATAAAGACAAGATCTTGGAACAATTAAATGATAGGACATATTATAAACAAATAGAGGAAAGCATTGACGAGAAGGCCATGCGAACCATCAGCACATTGATTTCAAAATACTGCAATAGCATAACAGATAAAGAAGAAGATTTTCTGTAGAACTTTGAGATAAAAAAATAGTTACTTCTGTGTTTTGCCAAAGATCCATAAAAGTCTACAAATTCAAAAGCCATTTCACAACAACAAGAGGAGTATATTACTTTGAACTCACCAAGTGACTATAAGTTTAAACCTATTGTTGCCGAAGGTCCAACACATCGCTTAAGTAATTTTATAGACATAACACTTAAACCGCTCTGTCAACATGTTCCAAGTTTTATTCAGGATGACTTAGAATTCCTTAACCACTCATCTACTCATATTGAGGATAATTGTTTATTTATAAGTTTTGATGTGACCAGTTTGTACAACCAACATTTCCCATCGATTAGGAGTTGATGCTACATAATTCTGTTTGGACAAACATGGAAACACACTAAACCCTCGCTTCCCGTATTTATTTCGTCTTCATGCCTTGATAATTATCTTAGAACATAATTCTTTTTATTTTAACGACCAAAACTACTCACAGATATCTGGAACAGCAATTGGAACTAAGATTGCACCAACATATGCAACGCTAGTATTGGGATTTATTGAACATAAAATGTACGAGATGTTAGAAATTGAGTTTGACATCGAATATTCAGCTAACATACGAGAACAATGGAATATTTTTTAGATGACTTTATAATCTGAAATAAAACCGACAAAAAACTACATACTTCCCATAGACTCATCGATAACATCAATCCTGCAATAAAATTTACCATTGCAAGGAGCACCACTGAACTGCCATTTCTAGATATACTGGTGACTAAAATCAACGGAGAAATCTCAACAGATATCTACTACAAACCAACAGACACACATTAATATTTGGATTTCCGATCATGTCACCCCTCACACACTAAGAGAATTATTCCCTTCTGTCTTGCGAGACGGCTGTTTTTGATAGATAGCAATACAGAAAAAAGAGAATAACGCTTAAAGGAACTATCGTACTTTTTAAGGGGACAAAATTATCAAAAATATCTAGTAAATCGTGGTATTGAAAAGGCAAAGTCGATACCACTTTCGGAGTTGAGGAAATCAGTACGACAAGAAATGGACAATACTGTTATACCTTTTGTTAGAACACAAAATCCATTCACCCTAACAGGTACAGCGTTATACACACACATTTGCCTATATTACACAAACAGGAAAATATAAAGACACTTTTTCCTGCAAAGTCATTGCTTAAAAGTAAAAAATAAACCCAAAATCCTTAGAAGA